TCGGTCTCACTTGGTCTCTCTCGGTCTCTATCTCCCCCTCTCGTTCTCAGTAGGTCTCTCTCGGTCTCTGTCGGTCTCTGTCGGTCTCACTTGGTCTCTCTCGGTCTCTATCTCCCCCTCTCATTCTCAGTAGGTCTCTATCGGTCTCTCTCGGTCTCTTTCTCATTTATGTCATTTTGTCTTATTTTTTAAAGGCACCTCAGCAACACCTCAGAAGATGGCTCTAGTCAAACAGAATCCAGTGAACCTTCCAGTCCTAGTCCTCTTTGCACAGAGCAGCAGGAGGAGGAATGGGTTTACATTGAAGATAACCATGACCTTCGATTTTATAAGAAGGAGATTTACAGACTGTGCAAGTCACGCAATAGTAATGGCGTAGCACTGTTTATGTTTTTGCTTTTAAGTATTTTGAAAGGCCACGACGTGAGGGAGGAGGAGTTTGCAGAAACTCTTTGTTATGTTGGTAGCATACTACGTACTATGGACGTCAAGTTTATTAATGTCGGTGTGCTGAGATCGTTACAAGCTCTAGTGGAATGCGTGACAAACGAGACTGTTTTACAAAGTGTCTTTGAAAATCTCCTCTTTGATTTTCGCATTTGGAGCTGCAGTGAATTTAACGTGAGAATTGGACACATTCAGTTTATTTCCACACAAATTAAAGATTCGCCTGAAAGATTTCGTTCCGAGTATGGTGTCAGGTTCTTCCTTGATGTCATCACCCAACACTATAGTGAGCATGCGCCGTTGGAGAATTCCGCTGGCCGGAATCGAGAAAATGAGATTAAGTTAACTCAGGAGGAAGTGAAGATTATCAGAGCATCTTTGTTAGGTTCGTATTTCTAATACTTTCCTTGGTTGAGTCAGATGGGGTTGTTAGAAAAGACATTTGGGGCAAGGATTCTTACCGTATTAGTCTAGGTTCTGATAGAAAGAGACAGGATCTCTTTTGAGTTTAATACGCACATACGCAATAATTTTCGTGAATCCTCAGGGGAGGGGAGGGGAGGCACTCTTAACTTGCGTTACTGTGTTTTCACATTTTCGAATTTCAATTTTTTCACTTTTTCACTCTTTTGCACTCTCCTCACATGATTGGAGAGGGTTGATTAACAACTGCATCTCGTCCAAGATAGAAAGGGAATTTCAATGTTAGTACCACAGAGGATGAACTTAAATTAGGTACTGTTCGCTGAGGAGTGAATTCAGTTTTCCGTTTGTTTTATTTTAGGTTTAATCAAGTTCTATCTGACAGAGAAAGTTGCTCGAGAGGAGGTTTGGTTCATTGTGGAATACTTGTCTTGCGTGACAGATTCAGAGCAAATCACAGAAGTGATAGACGTTCTCTCGTCACTCTGTGACCGAGCTTCAAAGAGTAAGATGGCTAAACGGCTCTCAGGTACTGAATGGGACGAAGAAATGAATTTTCGTCCCCGTAAAGTATGCAATTTGGTGTCTCATTAGACAATTCCCTCTCAAACGTTACAAACTCAGAACAGATCGTTTCCTC